TATCTTCTTGGGTCAATCAGTCCAGTAGCGCCTGTGCATAAGTTGAGTATGACTCAAGGAAAGCTGTGCTATCCATATACTCTTGGTTTGCACAGTCGGTATACTGGTGCATTTTTAACTCCAGAAGAGGGGCAAATAAAGTGGAGTTCTTTACAATCATTTGAATCAAAATGTTGAATGGAAAAAACGAGTATACACGGACGAAGCATACTCACAAGCGGGGAACTCAAGAAACTACCGCCCTTAGAGCCTTACTTGGTCTTGTAAACCGTGCTAGATGTCGGATGTACGCCTTTCAAAGATAGTGCATTCGGATAGTACCGTCAACTGAGTAGAACGTGTCATACAAATAAACGAGAACCGCTGTTGGTCATTCGTATGCCCATTGCAGCAGACTAAGTGCAACCATACCATTTTTACTTTAAACTGAACAATCTTGAAAATAATATGGACAATTCTTAAACTACGTAAGACGTACCTCATACCGAACTGGAATGTTTTTTCATGGCAATACTACGGTTAGGCGACAATACCTACAGATTACAGAGGTGACAAATACCACGATGATGAAGACGCCTATTACTCGGACCACAACCAGCAATCGAGGTAGCTGCGCTGCGGAATGGGGATAAGTGCTAGGTCGTAGTGTCGCGGTCAACTACGATCCGCGAACCGAAGTATGGCGGATCCAATCACACCACCTCCAATGAAAATAATGTTGAGAATAAACAAGGGTAGCTTGACAGCGATTGAAACGGTTGAATGGAGTAGTTAGGTAAGAAATCAAAAGACTGACACGAAAGTAGCTATTCAATGATGTGATCAATTTCGAAGGCAATGAGACAGCCGAAGCCAACCTGATGCATACATCCTGAAGGTACCGCAATACTTTGGCCCCCTAGAGGTTTTAAAAGACCATACAACGTATCTGTAGGCAATACAATAACCCAGGGACTCACCTTCTTGCGGACATCGTCCAAAATTAAGCAAACGGGGAACAAATTGGAATCTCTGGCTAGACGGATGGCCGCCTGAACATTGGGATCTTGGGGATCCTCGGAGAAGACGCCATCGGAAAGGATGAGGAGAAGCTGGCTTGGAGTACCGCCTGTGGATTTGTGAAACTGGCACTCTTGCATCATTGTTAGAGCACTGTGTATGAGCTGCAAGACATATATGTGGGAGCAGGTTAATTAGATACACAGGTGGAGTTGCGGGTTCACACTCGACTCCTAGTAGGTAGACAGGACAACGTGTGCAAGTAAGAATTAGGGACAAGAAAGTTCTAGGGCATCAGTAGAAGCCTTTCGAGGCCGGCGATGGACGTCAATCAGACGAGGAACCTAAAGCGATAGCTGGGAAACGTGGTGGAGTACATCATGATACTAGGTTGCCCACGGGAAGCGCGCGGTACTTGAGACAGAAAGCTCGTACTGAGTAATATTAATCCGGTTGGTCAGAAAAGTGTTTAGATTGGAAATCCTGCACAAAGCTACAAGATTGCGGCCACTTCGGTGTCCACTGCCGTTGGCACAAGAGAAGTAATGATGCTTGACAGCCACTATCACGAGTGTGAACGTAATGAGCTCACCTGAACAAGGGAGGTCCGTGATTGTTGAAACGTGAATCGGGAAACTACACTAGGCCCGGTCTCTCCAGTCCAAGCGTCTTTCAGATCATGCAACACGCGAACTGACTCACCGAAACTGGAGGCAGAGAAAAGAAAAATGGATCCGGGCTGAGAGTATGGTTAAATAATTGCGACTAAGTTGTGAGAAAAGGAAAAACGCGAATAACTGTTAAATAAATACTGAGTTACTAGCACACACGTGAACCGTATGGCATGATGTCGTCGCAGCCACTGTGATTATACAGACACGGAAAGTCAATTAGTATGTTACAATTGTGTATCTAAATAACGTATACCGATCGGATCTTATTTGATGCAAGTGTTCAGGTCGGCAGAGTCATTAGTAATATAAAATCTGTCGGTATAACTTCTAAGTCCTTACGTTGTACCAAGGCGCTAGGTGGAAAGTCTTAGCTTGTGGGTTTAGCTGCTGTCCTCTGCACAGTTCCTAACTGGCATGGCAGTGGAAGATGAGCCGGGCTATATGATAGTCAACCGTCAATCACGCAGGTCCGCGGCCGTCACCCATTACGAAGTGTCACTAGCTGCTGGCATCCGGAAGTCATGGGGGGCGGAAACCGGCAGGGGCCCGCTGGAAGGCGCATCACTGACGAGATCCAGAAGGTCAAAACACTGGTGCCTGTTGCTTTTCCAGACTAGTCAAAGCCTGCTGACTGAGAGCCGACCGTGATGAACTGTCTGATCATACCAAATCCCCACTACACATTAGAGTCGAGATACTCGTTCCGATTGAGCTCATCGCACTACTCAGCAATAGTGTGGGCATCATCGGTGATTTTGTACACTGCGCTTACAAGGTGGCTTTCGAAAGGAACATAAGGGGCAACTTGCCAAATTGAAATGCACCCCAACAAAGCAAATCATCAGGCTTCACAAGTAACGCGCTGATCGCGTACACCCAACTTTGAGACGTTTGTTTCAAGAATGATGCAACAACCGGTACAATGAGTCCACTGTCGTGACCTGGACTGCGTTGCAGCCTGTCCGGTGAAAATATGACATTAGTGATTTTCATTTGTAAAAGGCATGCAGCAACTGGATTTGGTAGTTTGACTGGAGCTGCCACATTGAAATAGAGGTTCTGAATCTAACCCATCACTGATGACAAAGTTTAATCGGCATGCTGGGGACCACCACACAGCGACGCTAACTCCCTAGTCTTCTAATTTGAAGAGCAGACTTGTCTTCAGCCTTTGCAGATTTAAGTTTGATGCTGAATTCTCACTTTCAAATACAGCTGCAGACATTCGGAATAGCAGACCGGAGCAAATCGATATGGCCTGAATTCACCACATCTTGAGGATAAACGGAATTTCTATGTGAAAGTCTGTGCGGTGATTCAATGAGCAACCGAGAGATTGACCGGGAAAGGAAAAGAGAGCAACGACTGACATGGTCGCCAAAATGACACAAGTGTTTTGTTCAAAAGTATTGTTGCCGCACACATCGTTTACACCTTTCCAAATTCTCGCAACACACGACAAATGTTATGCTACTGAGAGTTGTGCTTCAATGCAATGTGACATGTTTTTGACGGGACGAATGAAATACGATTGCTATGAAAAATAAAAGGGAGCTATTTAAGACAGAACAAATGAATTTCGCTACCCAACGTTAATCGATTAGTAAAGTTACCTGCAAACACCAATTCGACCGACTTCCAGCAGTGCGAAAGCTGTAGTGACGGTCGCCAAAGCATCGAAGGTCATCTGCAATAGGGAGAGAAGGACGGGTGAACATTTGGGAGATGGTGCAAACAAATGTGGAGCGATACGGATAGCTGTGTGTTCCAGCTCGATTCGTAGCAGTTACCACATCGAGGCATCCGTATGGTCACGTAAAGCCTAGAAGAATTCCATTAGGATCAGTCAGTTCTCTGTCCTGGTTTGCTCGTCTGCATAAGTTTCAATGCCGATTAGAGAGAAATTAAGGGACTGAAGCATCATCACTCATTACACACATTCAGAGGCGACGATTTCAAACAGACTGGGCGGTTCAGGAAACAACTCGATACAAGCTGGAGAAGCGCTCGACAATCGGCTGTGTAATCGTTGGTGACCACGCAGAAGCCGGAGATATTTGGGATGCGAAAGGTGCAGCACACTCACACAAACGTAGTGTGACTCGTAGGGATGAGGTGTGAAGTCCTCCTATTGGGTTTAGTTGCTGGTTCGATAGTAGTGAAAACGGAAACCAACGAGTGTTTGGGGAATGGTCAGGTGAAGCAAATTCAAGTGCAGCGGCTGACTTTTGCCGTCCACCTGCTGTGGCAACAAAAAGAGAGCATTTCAATAACAACATGAGTTTACGAGCACTGGCGGATGATGAAGCTGCAACCCAGACACGCACTGAGTTGACGGATTCTTTTTATTTCATCTAGCTATTTCCCTGCAAGAACTACAAAAATGTAGGAAACAGTATTTAAGAAGGATGACCTGAGCCCTGTTTAGTTTGTGTATTCCCATTCAGTCGTTTAAATACTATTAGGGGAAACTCCAAACAAACAAGAGTGACAAGTGATCCATACCAGAAGCCGATAATTACCTGTGTCAGTGTGTCATGCACTTAGAGTACTAGGAACAAAGTTAACGCGCTTGCATAGAATGGACTTCAGATACCAGAAGTTCCAGCAAACCGGAGCAGATTAGGGCTGCTTTGTCCACTAATAGCATTGAATGTCTCGCGTGGGTTTTGGCGCATCACGCAGTTCAGTGCGTACCGGATAATTTAACAAAAATCAAGACTATGTTCCGCGGGATGTGTTCGGAAACCTGGGTCGACAGCCTCCTCTCAGTTCAACTGATATATATGGTACCTTACGTCCAGCTAAACTGGTAAACAAGCGGTAACTTGAAAGCGAGTCCTGCCTAAGCTGGATGAGTGCAGCAACATGAGCTAGCTGCAAAGTAGTATCTCCTTATGGACTGGCGTAAGCGATGGCTGAATCGACTATCAATATTTTCTTCTCTGCAAGACAGTGTAATGAAGACCATCATCTTGAGAACCTGTCGGTATTTCTCTTCTCCTTATTTCCCCATACTATTTGAGTTCACATATGCTCAACATGGTCGAGAAGCAACAAAATCACCCAGCAAAAAGAGGTCGAATGCTAGGCGCTCAAATAAGTGACCGTGTCCACTACCGATTAGTATGCACAGCAGTGAGAGAAAAGCACACTCGATGAGTTGAGTGAAAATTTTTCATTATCACATATTGTGCTGTGTATGTGTGTGGGAGGGGGTCCGGTACATTTCAGTCTTTCAACTAGGATCCTCCTGCCAAGGTGTCATGGACCCAGTTAGCTGGACACGCGTCGCCAAAATAGTCAAGAGGAATGAACAAGTACGTAACCCGTCGAATGGAATAACCAAATGTTCGAGGCGATGACTTCTCGTGCGTCTTTCCTCACATCTCCTGTCGTCTGACTATGTTCACTGGCCCGGACACGCTGTTCATTCGGTCGAACTAGTTCCTGCTTTGTCCGGAAGCACGCGGACTTGGCTCATGCTTAGTCGTACCATTGCATCCCGTGTCGTTAGTCTGGATTAGTTGATGAACATGTTCTGTTCGCTCGTGGTTGTTACGACCGATTCGTCTTCTCCTGTGATCCAGCTGCGCCTATTTCACTCTACACAGAGTCGATTCTACTTTGTTTCTCCTGCTTTTGTGATCGCTATCAGTTTGAGTCAGAAGAGATGGCGCAGTCCCCTGTCTACCTAAGCTGTATCGTCCAAGATCACACACGATCGTATTTGAGGCACGTCTCGATTACCCACTTTGTGGCATTAAAATTGGCAACCATGATCACTGCTGTATAGGATGGCATCGGTAATTTGATCGATTTCAGAGAGATGCCGGGGTTAAAGGGCTAAACGAGCAAAACATGCCAAAGAAAAAGGCTGAATTTTCCTGACGAGTATATGAAAGTGTGGTGGCTACGTGAGCAGACAGTCCGGTTTTGAGGAAGTCTCATTGGGATATCCACTTTGTTAGTCGCACGCACTGTCAATGAAGCGAGCACGTGCCTTGTCCAACACAGTAAAAAGTGCAGTATTTGCATGAAGAGAAGAGAGACATCAGCAGTGCGTCAGTACGCGGTACCGACGCATTGCTACCACGCAACCACCACCGATCGCACGTGGGTTAAGGATACTGCGAGCGCCGCTCTGCTCCTATACAGGCTCGAACACGTGACCTTGGAGCATAAAGCAGGTTTGTGATGCTTAAAGCTACGGGGCGAGTATTTGCATGCAGGCAAAGCAATAGCACAATGCCGATAAGCCAAGACTTCAGACTGACCTGACGACACAGATTGTCAGACATAGAGGAAGAATCATCGACTGCGATCAGAATCCTGTACTCCCGTTGACTGGGCTGCGATCTTCTAAGCCAAATTTTGTCCTTTCTGAAATGACTTGCTAGATACGGAATGATCTGAAGGCAAATGAAAGTTGCGGTCAATAGACAATGCACTAAATGGAAAGTATAAAAACAACATAAGTTGACATTTTAAACACAAGGAAATTTTTCGGTAAAATCAAATCGCAGGTCACAGATGACTTTGAAAGCTGAATCTGAAATCGACAACCCTAAGATGAGACTAGATGATCTCACAGATCGTCTGTGAAAACGGTGTTCAAACATTCAGCTGCACGGCCTTTATAGTTTAGTTTTTTTGAAATTGCGTGTCACTCCGCTGCCGCGCACGAACGTGTCAAAGTAGAAGTATCTATATCCACCCGGTTCGGCGAAGATTCCGGGCTCGGAAGTAAAGAAAAAACAAATTATTGGTTCATTATTAGAGGGTAATGAAAGGATGGAAGTAGATTAATTTCGATGGAAATTCGTCAAAGGTCTGTCACCTATCTCTCAGTTGTCTGAATGACAGATTTGAAAGTGGAAAGTTGACGGTTTTATCCTTCACGGAGCAGATGAAAGTGTACTACTGGTGAGTCCCAAAAAAACGAGATGGCTATCTACTGCTTTTTCAGAAGTGCAGTTGTCGTGTGACTGAGTGTAACTGTGACGAATCTCCATGAAAGTTGATCATTTGTTCAATTTTATGTTTATAATAATGGTGAGGACTTTTCGAGAGGAGGGTCAGTTTCTCATAACATCTGAAAACACGCCATCTATTAGCAATTGGCAGAACCTACTTTCCTCATGTTGATTCGTTTCCCAGTGCGATAGTCTCCTCGCATTCGAGCGGCCTTTGTCGGTTCAAGCACGAGCCTCAAAGACTCACAAAGCTGATGAGCCAGGTTAGCTGAACGGTGAACACAGGCAGACCATTCGATGGTAGCTTTCGTAAAATCATCCGATAACAAGTGGATACCCGCGTAGTCGACTGGAAGCGGTTCGAGGGATGCGGGAATGGCCAAAGGATCGAAGTACGAACTGTGTTCACGCTGTGCGAAATTCAGAATGGAAATGAAGTATGATAGAAATGTAAAGCTAACCGACTGACAGTGGTTGCTAGTTGAGTGATGAGAAGAGAAGCAATCGAACAAAACGGTGAAATAAACTACCTGAGTACATATCAAAGATTCTGGGGGTCGTTGAGCCCCCAAAGTAGGAACCAATTCGACGTCTGGATCCGTGGTCATCAGATCGTGCTCATTGTGGGAAGCAGTTTGGTCCACGGATTTGGATGTTTTTCGACAAGTCGATAACGATGGTGGATTCTGAGAACGGGGATAGCAACATCGGGAGTTGTTGGGTAGGTAAAGATTTTATGAGAGGAGTCATTTTGTGGCCAAACTGATCAGATAAACAACTACCTATCCTATTATTTTGAATACTCCCTGGCAAGAATCTGTAGATGACGCGAATGCCAACAACAGACTGCCTAGAATACAAAACGACAACTGGAGAAGTAGAACAAGGACACATCAAAGGCTGCTCACTTTTACAATTTCCGTGGGCACAGCGTCGGTGGCCGCAGTGAGATCTTCGTGATCGTTTTCAAGCACCATCACATCAGCTGGATGATCTTCCGGCGGCACCGAAACTTGCTGGTTTCGCTGAGCTTCAGTCGCTGAATCGACAACATGCACTAGCGATGAATCATCCGCGGCATCAGATTTGTCTGGTGGCAAATGCTGGTACAAGCCACAAGTGGAGGAGTCGAACTCTTCGTCATGGTCCACAAGCTCTTCCTTTGAGTCGACTGATTCGAGAACCTCTCCCTATGAAGTAATGGACGGTGCCAAGCAGAAATGACGGGACTGTAGTAGTTTGTAGTAAATCGATGGAACGACAGATAAATTTAGGTGACGAACAGTCCTGTAGTATAAACAGAACTTCAGAGAGCAAAGGTGCATGCGCATATTTGAGAGTTAACAAGCAACGGCGCGTTCGCAAGAGTACATCTTTAAAACCGCTGTCAGTCATCAAGCTGTCCCTCGGAGCGACAGGTGAAACATGGAAACTAAGGCATCATGGAGCTAAATGGGCGCTCTGAATTCCGATCGAAACCGCGAGATGCGAGCGAACTGAAATCGCGGATTCGGGTAGCAACGAGAATGACAGCAGGAGCTAGACACGAGGAAAGATATGTATCCTTCTAGGATAATGTGAGACGCTGCTTCGGCATTAAATGGGCAACAGTGAAAACGTTCAAGGAAACAACTGCCAGTTTAGTAATGAAGTTACGCTTGCGGAAAGCGAGCGCTACGTGAGCTGACCAAGAGTGGCTCCGATCAATGCCCGAACTCCATGAGCAGTGGAAATCGGAATAACATTGGAAGAAGTCAAATAGACGCCCTACTGTGTCAAGCCGAGTGAAAGAATGACCACGATAGGTCGACTACACTTGAAATGCCCCCTAGAGAAAACAACGTGAACCTGCATCGGTAAAGTTATATGACTATGACGGAGCAAGTAAAGTGGGGATCAAGTAGCAAGGACAACTCGGTGCGAAGAGTGAACAATGTGTAGCAGGTTAGATAGATGCGAAAAAAGGAGAGAATGTGATGATTGCATTCAAGCGGAACGAACAGACTAGACCACAATGACGAAAAAATCTAACAGAACTCGAACCGAACAGACTGCGTCGTCGGTCGCACAATCGTCCATTCGCGTGGCCCACATTTTTAGTTGTCAAACGATGGTCATACTCGAATTAAACGACTATCGATTTTTATTCATCTGAACTTAAACCAAAATGATAGCAGTGTCGTTGTTTGTTGACGAGGCCTTGCGGATACTGTCTGTCAATATCTTTTTAGCGAATAGGTTGTTTGTCCATGAAAGATCTGTCTTTGAGATACCCAGTGATTCCTGCGCAGACCAATATCATTCGCACTACGATGGAAAAAAGCCATGCAACTAAAGAAAACGAAAAATTGAGGCACTCACTCTCACAGCTGACCCAATGCTATTAACATCTTGCGATCGGCCATCTGAAGTGGGTCTAGGCCCATGCCTCCTCGAGGTAGACTGTGAGCTTGTGTGCTCAACAGGATCACGCTGACCAGAAGGTCCCGTAAGCTTCTCACCACCGCGTTGACTTTCCCCAATGGGCTGAACACTGCCAGTATCAGAGACGGAGTTCAATGAGTTGGTTGCTGCACCAGCTCCAGTGGCAACTCTTGGATCGGAGGGTCCCTGAAGAAGGAAATTGACACATACAGCCGTAAATCAATCACACATCGTCAGATAGCCCAACGAACGCGGTATTGGGACGCTACTCGAGCATACTTGGGAGCGTGGTAACAACCACTCCGCTACAAAAAGGTATATTCGACTAGGCACAGAGTACGACAGCAATGGTGCGTAAGAAACGCTCACCAGAATGGCTATACATGATCAAGCAGAACTGCTGTAGCGGTAGGATGGCAATAAAAGGTAACCATCACCATGGGCATACGTCAAATAGCGTGGACCAGTCAACGTTTATAGAACCAATGGATGTAAACATGGAGTTGATGAAGAAAAACCTGTCAAATTAAGAAAACGGCAAAAAACAGATGTGTTGGTCACGACAAGGCTGAGGGCTCACCTGGCCGTGGTATTCGTCTTCAAAGGTGTTTTGGAACGCTGCCTGAAAAGGTTAAATGAACAAGAGAAGATAAGGTCAATGGTACGAAATAAATTCCACGGAGCATTGTACTGATACTGAACTGCCTAAAATTATCTTCAAAACAGAAGAAAGTTAAGGCATGGGTGTCGTATGTTCCACTCAAGGTCAAGCCCTAATCCACTCATGCTTAGGGACACCACACACACACACACATGCAGGTACGCGCACACACCAGTCTGCTCCTGTCGCCAGTAAAGGCCATCGAGAATGTCCAATCCGTTGTTGATTACCTAAAGTTCCGTTCAAATCAAATCAAGTCAGTATAAGCTTTTTATACCCAAATGGGTGCAGTTTCAGCACTTGACATTATCAATTGTAAATGTACCAAAGGGATATCATCAAAAATGCAAAGTTTACAGGTAAGTAGAAAAATGAGAAAGGTGTATTGTTCGGACTCCGTTGAGCAACGATCACATTGATCGTCGAGATTTTCATAAATGCGAAAAGGAAAAGGTTTCAGTAAAACCTTTCTTCACAATTCGTTTCAGTTGAAAGAAAAGTTTGTGTCCACAGATCGCGCGTAATATCTCAGCGTTTATATTCAAATGTGGATAGAGTAGATTGGTTACAGTGACATTGAAAATTGATTGAACGAAACAAATTCCACCTTATTTCTGCGAAACTGATATATCTACAGTAGTAATTCAGATAAAAGGATTTCCAGCAAAAATGGCAATGGCCGGTGTAAAAGCCCCGCCATTCTCTCGACGGCACAACAACACATGTAAAAAAGGCAAGAAAACTCCAGACACTCTTGCTACATGGATACAGCAGTGAGTCGCAGTACAGGCAGCTAAAACCGACTGGGACGCAGAGACCAAGAATGACGGGCGCGACCAAGTTGCACAAGCCGGATAGCCCACTGCGTCCGAGTATATGCCCGAACAACTCGCCCTTACAAAACGTTGTTCAGTGGCTGGTGTAACTCTTAGATCTCGTGCGTAAACTCTTGGCCACGCACTGCCTGAAAGACTCGTTTGAACTAGCGGAGACGCTGGTACAATCCTCACTGGGCTCGGATTTCATGTACTCCATAGATGTCCCGAGTCAAAACATGTATGTGAGCCTTCCTGTGGTATATATGAAAGATGTGATTCTACTGTGCACAGGAAATGTACGTTTTGTGTACAAGCATACAAGCAGATCGACGGAGTCACCATGGGCATCCCTCTGGGACCATTTTGGCAGATATCTTGCTTGGTTTGATGGAAGGGCAAGTTGCTGCCAGTATTGGTGAGGCGAAACTGTACAAACGGCACGTAAATGACATTCTGGTATTCACTTGCAGCGAATATGTTCTTTTGTTAAAAACTATAGCTATCTTAAAAAATATGGCGTTATTTTTTGACCCACCCTTATAGTTTCGGCAAACAATTTGGGGTTGGCTTTTGGAAATGTCTGAGCTATTGCAGTTGAAGGTTTACTCCTCAACAGCTCAAAAACAATACCCTCCTTAGAAGAGACTGTAAGAAAGATGTCTTTTCTTGGGAATGTAGTGACAGCATTGATGGAATGATCATCAACAGCAGTACATCAGCCATTTGAACTGATGCTTCGCTGCCATACAACCATGAGGACCTATGAAATAAAGAATAAGAAGAGGGAGAGAAGGGGGACTTACCTGAAAACCTTAATGCCTTAAGCAAACATTCAGGGTCAAGGCGCCTACACCTTGTGTAGACAACATACTGTCACAAACAGCTGGCTATCGTGCAAAGATAAGGCGGCATCGGCGAGACAGCTTCCTTGCGGATTTCACTGCCACGCGTCATAATCAGCCATTACCCGCAGATAACAGCACTACACACACTTTAAACAGGCCATCTGATTAGAAGACGGTAGCAGACGCGCCACTGGTATCTACTGCGAACCATGTCCTGTAAAGTTTCGAGCCAAACACAAGGCGAGCCACGTGGACGCCAGCTCGGAAGGCGAAACGGACCAACGGCACCCAGTGCAATGGGGTAGAGTGAAGTGCTTTTAATGGACTGATGAGGATATCCATACCGCTGCAATGTTTTTAAGATTAGCTGAGTATTGCCATCCAACGTATCAGGGTTGCAGATGGCCTTGGTGCGATTAAAGAGGCAACGGACTACATTTCGCTTGTATCTCAGTGGCACACAGCTGAGAAGGTGGGTATACTGGCCTATCCACGTCGTTTTGCGGAAGACACTTCTCTCAATTCAATTCAAGTCAGTATATGCTTTATGTACCCAAATGGTTGCAGTTTCAGCGCTTTACATCATCAACTGTAAATGTACCAAAGGAGTATCAACAAAAATGCTAAGTCTACACATAGGTAGAAAAAGGAGATGGGTGTATGGTCATGACTCGATTGAGCAACCATCCCATACTACTGAACTGAATCCTCGGAATGTGTATCTATGCAAAACGTAAAACCTTTCTTACAATTAACGTAAAATTTTATGTCCGAAAACAATAGACCGGGGATCGTGTGCGACATCTCAGTGTTTATATTCAAAAGCTGTATGGAGTAGAGGGTTCCAGTGACCTTGGAAGTTGACTGAACAAAATATGTCAGCCTTGCAAAACTATATATACAGCAGATACTGTAAAATATGATGTTCGGCGAAGAAAGCAACGGCCAATTTAAAGGCACTTCCCCAAGGATGTGGGCCCTATACAGCATGCGCTCCTGAACATTTACTTACCGGAAGGTAGCACGGGGTTAGTACGAGAAGTAAGGTATTGAGAAGATCCCAGTTCGATTGGATGTAATGCGAGCGGATTTACCCGTTCTAACTCAGTATAGAAGAGATTAACGAAGGTGTGCAAATTCTGGGCGAATCCGGGAGAGGAATCTCGGTATGCAACAATGTTTTACTCACGAGTAAGGGATTTCTGATGCAGCATACATCAAATAGCCCTCCACATGCCCGAAAAAGCACTAGGCGGCCCTTTCGATCTGTTGAGTCACGTCAGTGGTGCGTATCCATCAGATCCTTCAGGATTCGAACCAATGTTTACTAGCTGCTTGAACAGCCAGTCAGCAGCTCATGCCACTGAACCATAGGGAACAGCGGCGGACCGTCATAATTTACCGGCTAATTGCGATATAATGCATCGAATCCTCCACTGCCATGCAGGTTACGAAGGTTGCTGAGGGCAGGGTTGGCCCCGAAAGACACAACTTCCCTAATAGTAGCTTTGTATTCAGAAACCGTCAGGGCGAATATATGATACACTCATGAGTGTTCCTGTTGGTTTATGAACTTCGAAGCAATCTGGATTGCCACGCAACAACACATCGTGGGTAGCTGAAGGAGACTGTCAAAAACACCAACATAAATCCTCACTTAAATATGTTTGTCATGCAATGTACGAATTGCGTATATTGTTGTTTCTGCGGATAAATGCAAACCGAGCTGCTCTTGCGAGTTATCGTTTTACTGCAGCAAAATACTCCTGCTATGCTCAATGCAGCGGAAGACGGTGGTGCTTCATATCGCTAAGTATACGCCACATCATACTTGCGGTGACGGATTATAAAAGCTGACATCACGTCCGAAGCACACGGGTCAAAACAACCCCATTCAGAACCGAATTAGCACAGGAAACATGCGTAAGCACTGCGCCGCAGCGACTCATCGCTGTCGCGACTACTGCAAAGTCGCCCGCAATTTACGCAGGCTCAAGTTGGCGAGCTTTGGATTCTAAGGTAGAACGCTTGGACCATTCGGCCACCGGCCGGTGGTGTACAGGCGCGCACAAAAACCCTTAACTACCACGATGTGCAAAATTCGTCATGCACCTGTGGGTGGGTTCCCCCAAGCAGTATTCTTATCTAATATGACCGTAGGGACTTTTTAGGACTCATTGACCGAATCAGCAAAGTCAACAGCGTAACGTGCTCGTTGGACGCACAGTCGTTATTTAGTACCGTCTGTAGACAGTCTACTATATTTGTCGGTCGATTGAAGTAGAAAGTTTCAATCTGCTGGTACCGATAAGCTCCATGAAACACCTTCAAAGTGAACGTCGAACAGGCCACAAGTCGCGAAGCAGACGGATAAGCTACGGATAATCCTCCGACTTCTATGTTGACGAATTTCGCACGCTAGTGGTTGGGAGAAAACTTCGTGAAAATTCTTCGAATAATATTTAGAGGATGCAGATCCAACACCTCATAGTACAGCTGAATAGCGTGGACGTCAATTGGAGGGAGGGAGTTCAATCCGACCGGCCGTCTTTCATACATGGACGCCATTAAAAGGTGTACCATGACTGTCGTATTGGGCGGATTTCATACTGAAAATCGATAGCCGGATCAACACCAGCAAGTAGCTGACTCCGAACCAATGGAGTACAGGCGTGTACTGGCGAAGTATTTCCTCTAACACGTGTGAGATATTGTTAGTTGATTAAGTCAAATGACGGGCTCTAGCCTGTGAATAGAATGCTCAGGTAAAACAGTTACCGAAGACGTCTCGTAAGGAATGACAGAAAATCCAGACCATCGAAAGTAAGGGTCCTGATGGAACAGAAGTAAAAGGTAACACAGCGACAAAGAGGGAAATAAAGTGCTCAATCTTTGTTGTTCGGAGGATGGATTGTGCTGTCGAGTCCGCGCTTTAAGTAGAATCCGAAAACTGTTGCTACCCTTGGCAAAGAAAGAGGAACTCATCGGTTTATGACAGTTTGTGTGAAACAAAATGAGTCAGTTGTAGACGGTGCCCTGGATTCCAAAATGAAGCGGCGTTTGCTCAGTCGAGTAAATAGCGAGGTCAATCATTCATGATTCAATGCTTCGTGACCATGTAAGCCAAGGAAATCCTTCCAAGATAGGCACATTATGGCCATCGACCTCGAAGCAACTTGAACGCGGTATCGCTGATCTTATGGCGTTACACCAATGGATGCATTTGCCAATGTGTTGAGGCCATTGCGATAAACCGGATTAGACCAACCCTATACATGCAAAAGTAATTAGTTATCAACAATCGGCTGTCGCGATCTTAGGGCCACCACCGGCGTCCACTCGTAGCATGCTTTGTTATACCATTTAAAAAATATTTAAGGAATTCTTTGTGACAGCTATGTTACAGCTTACATGTCGCTTAGTGTTGGAAGCTTCCAAGGGAAAGCGAAGTTCTGAGGGCTAACTCTGTCTTCTGTGCGTTCCGTAACAATCATAGCAACTGAAATCATGAGGTGGAAGAGTCTATAGCCAAAGTACGAACGAGATCAACGGCTTATATCCAAAAAGCGTTAATATGTCAAGTCCTGGGGACCTGGTCGACAAGCAACTGTTACGCCTAAGTGAAATCGGAAATAAATACAGAGCAATGAAGCGGTTATACCCTACTGTTCGGTTGTGACACCTGGCCGCTTAAAACAGCGGACCTCAAGAGGCTAGTTACGTTTGACCACCGGCGCCTTCGCCATTTAGCTCACATCTGGTGGGAACACCGTGTGAGCAACGAGCGTGTTCGACGCCTTGTTTACGGCCCAAGAAAAGGAACTGAACCGCTCAGCACCGTTATTTCACGCATCAGGCTCCGATGGCTCGACCACGTGTTACGCATGCCAGCCCACCGACTCCCGCGACGTGTGTCGTTTGCGCGCCGGGAGTGTGGATGGAAGAAGAGGAGGGGTGGCCAAGCGATGACTTGGTCGAGAGGAATGAAGGCCCTCACTTCTGAGCTGGCCTCGGTTGGAGCGTCTCGGCTCCCTAGTTAGGGTCCGAAAGACGATGAACACGTTTGGTTGGACACACTTGCTGATATGGTTAGGAGCCGACCTCAGTGGCGTTCGTGCTGTGAGTTTCTTTGTCCCACCACATCCCTCTTAGCTTCCCCCTCCAACCACGATCTCATTATTTAGCCTTATATAATTTTGCATAGTAATTTTTTTGGGTGCACAGCAGCCGGCTGGTAGCTTACCGGAACGATGCTCATCCGTTACCGGTAGCTCAGCCGGCTTGCACCAGTTGCTTTTTTTTCTCTCCTTTCTTTCTATGTATTGCGGCACAGCAGCTGAGGTGTTCCCCACCTCCAGCTAACGTGTAGTATGATGATGATGATGAATGGAGCTATATGATAAGTAAGCGGCAGTATGTGCTGTGTTCTAAGTCGAGGTTTGATGAGACAGGGAGAGCATGGGCCAACCAGTGCAGTGAAGGTAGAGAAGGAATCAAACCCGAGCACTCATGCACACATATGCACTGTGTAGCCGGTCGGGGTAATGTATCGGTGACCAGCTAAGGATGCACCAAGTAATCTCCAGCGAGCATCCCCGTGCTCTTGTGTTACACAATCGATAGCAGATGGTACATCCTTTGAACTGATGAAAAGAAACCAGTGGCGAATCATTTAGGGATGATCGCTGGATAGTAGAAGAAAACGAAGGCATCAGCAGTTCGCTGGTACGCAGTACCGACGCTTCGCTGCCGCGCAACCACCATCGGCCGCGTGTGGACAAAAGATACTGCGACGGTCGCCCTGCCCTTCCGCAGGCTCGAACCCGCGCAGTCGGATTGCAAGACAAGTTCATTACCTTTAGGCTATGGGCTGGCACGCTGGTCAGAATTTATCCACAAGTTACGTAATACTCAGAGGTAACGGACGATCCGCCGCGTGATACAATCATTGGTATATTTCGTTGAGTAGCAGTCAGAATCTGTAGACCAAACGGAAAGAAAATTTGCACGCGGCAAGTGCGTAGGAAGATAGCGGGTAGCGACAGCAAGCAAGATCATGGCCACCGCTGGGATTATCACCCCGCCGAACAAGTTATTTCAATGCGCGTCAAAAACCATCCTATTCATTTGGTTGGTCGACCCTGATCGAGCGGTCACAAAAAGAGTGCTTGGGCTATAGACAGCAAAGTTATTGTTGTGATGGCTAGAAAGACAAATAGACAGAGGTTCGGTAAGAACGCCGCCAATGAAATAGAATCCGTGATGTAAACAAGAAGACATCATCCAATGGGATTGGATCACGGACAAACGACTGACCCAAGTGTATATTAAGGTGGCGAAACCACAAGGCGGGTTAGGAGAAATGTGATCGACTGCTGCGGCAAAGGAGGTCAGATAATATCCAGACAATGGATTTGGACCCGCAGAGCAGTGAGGGGAAAAAACCAAGAAACAACCGCCGATCGCATTTACAATGAACCAGCGCAACTGATCGTTGGCGATAAATAGCAAGTCATGTTGCAGCGAAAAGATCTTGACCTAATCCCAGTACTTGTTTTCTTTTAGAATACTGCACGATAGTTACGGGTGGGGGGGGTAAAAACGAGAACAACTGTTGCGACAATCCGATTTGCTTATCATTCATTCTCAACGAACTGTGATGTCGATATGAAGCCCAATCGATGTGGTGGTCTAGGATGCGAAGTCAAGAGTAGTAGGTTAGTTAGCAAAGTAATGAGGTTTCACGGAATCATCAACTCACCGCGTCCGCATTAGCAAGATCACCGGCGCCCGGCTGGTACTGGAAACTTTGCATCTGCTGATCTGCATCCGCCTTTCCCATCTCATCTAACTCTGAAAACAAGTAAGCAGACACGTACCAACATTACACATGCAAAGCTAGTGACATGGGTATATCCCTTGGTGGTTCGAACAAAATAGCGAGAAGACGAATGCTTATTATACCGTCGTATGAAAAACTACTTATGCACGTATTAGGGTATCCATCATGGAACGCTGCAATCCTTGGGCTATCCTTACCAGATGATACAATATTATCAATCGAATCGGACCACCCGGTAAAAATGTGAACAAATTTTGGTTCGCACAACAGTAACATCAAGGCAACACATGATATGATCTAAGAGGTAGACAGAGGTAACAATTGCGAGGACACAATAAAGAACTAACCTTCGGGTAGGCCAGTGGTGTGTTCATTGGCGACACTAGTGTCCATGGGTTGTTCCATTTCGCCATCCGAGAAGTGTTCCGCATCCCGTGATTCTAAGGATTGCAGGAGAGTAACACCCGATGGCGCGGATAAATAACGATGAAAAAGGAAGATGGCTATAGGACGCCTGTAGATGGTTTGCTACTAAATAAAATAAAAACTCAAAGAGTCCGATGAAAAAAGGAAAGCCGTGATTTTAGTCAACTTTATCACGACGTCTGATAATTGTTAGTGTGTGTGGCTCCAGAGAGCTATTTACGCAGGAGGAGCGTGGTTGGCATTATCAATGGCTCATGGTGCTGATGCACATGATTTGGCCAATGGCTGGGTAGATTGTGCCAATCCTCATGCACTTATCTATGTTTGAGAAAGGACTTCGGGATGGCTCAAGGTTAAATGACGCCCATCCTAAACTCATCCGGTTTCCGACTAGTTAGCGCTCCTCTCTTCAAAATGAACCATGGTGCACACCGAGTTATGTGTCGCGATGCAGCCGCCCGATGACGGTCCGACAACAAACGAGGAACAAGTGCTTAGTTTACAATGTTTCGGAATACCTGTGGCTCAGGTAAACGATTCAGGTGGTCATTCGTTTGCTGAGCTTGACAAGTTGATTGCAGACGTTTTGTCAGTAATGGTGGTGACATCAGTGCAGAGTTGGTGGTAGCTTAGTGGCGAGAAAGCCTACTAGGCAAATACGTGATCAAGCTACAACGAACTCTGCACTCTGATGATGTCCCCTCGTATAAGGTTCAAATGTATGCAACCAAATTGCCAAGGTCGACGAACAAATAAACAACTGAAGTGCTTAGCTGTTGTGGTCGGCCGGTGGCCGAGTGGTCTGCGCGCCTGGTTTGCAACCATAAGGTCACCAGTTCGAATCCGTGTAAGAGTGGGCGTCCTCGCGGTATATATGCCCGCGCGCGACTGGTGGTGGTCGTGCGGCAGCGAAGCACCGTTATGGCGTATAGCTGACACATCATTATTTTATTATTTAGCTGTTGTGACAATTTCTAGGTACCGGATTCGATTCTCAGTGGCAGTGCACCTCAGAACCTGGAGCGAGTGATGCCCAACATTTAGGAACCATAGCTACAGTCTGAGAGCCTGAACTGACCGGCTTACTCAAAACTAAATCAGGGTCTAAGTTGGTAACGAGTATTGCAACCCTAACATAAAGCAGTTCGCTAAAATACAAAAAAGGTCAGCTCCGACATCCCCACATGGATAGTGTCAAAATGTAATACACGGTCAACAGCAGTATCCAACAAATCGGTCAAGTGTACAGACTAAAATGGCGAAATCCTAACAAATGATATGCGTAAAACTAAAAGAAAGCATCAGCAGCACGCCGGTATGCGGTACCGACGCTTCGCTGATACTCAACCACCACCAGTCGCGCAGTGGCCAAGAATACTGCGAGGGTCGCCCTGTTCCTAAGCAGGCTCGAACCCGCACCGCCAGATTATAAGACAAGCTCCTTATCTTTAGGCTACGGGCCGGTAAGATACAGACGCACAGACGATGATAAGCGTTTATCGCATATGATTGTCGAGCAACAGGCTAGGACATTGTACACTAGAACTCTGCTCTCATTATTCGCCATTATGGCTGTACAGTAACGAAGTATTGATACAAGTTACTGGTGCACTGCCGTCGACGATGATGGTCCTCGAGCCACAAAGTGCGCAAAGCTGCCCATGGAATTCTGGTCCTGTTGCTGCAGCTGCGTTACGATGCAAATGTATTGCGCCCTTATCGGCGACACAGTAACATTGGTTTCAAGCAAGTAGGGATAGAGAACAGTTGTCGCACGCCAGCACTAGTCGCATGGGGCTAAGGATACTGCGAGGGTCACCCAGTCTTCTACGCAGGCTCGAACCTGTGACTTCCGGAGTGCCTTGTCCTTTCCACCACGTGCAAGCACAACGGGTAGCTTGAAGAGACCCGATGTGAAAACTGACGTCATTGTAAATTTAAAATCGAATGAAGCTGCTGAAGACGACTTAGTCTATGAATGGTGAGATGTGGTAAAGATGAAAAACGCAGAAGCAGGTAGGACATTGACAACCAGTGATCCGGACCGCCCATTACGTCCGGTTTGGGTATTCCCACTTGGAGTCTGACCAGATGGCGTGATCAACAAACGTTGGTGAACAAACTCGGCTAGGGAGTGAAACTTCAAAGCTGTGGTAATCTGACTGGTGCAGACTAGAAGCAGCCTCAGAAGTCATCACATAGTTTGCGTACTATTTCATTGGTGTTAAATAATAAATGGAAAACCACGGATAACAAAAGAGGAGTTTTGGTGGGTCTGCACCTAGTTGGACAGCGTGCCCATGGTCTCTGGAGGTGGGTTGCGCTCCTTAATTGTTGAATGCAACACCCGGCACTCGTGTCATATATTAAGCAAGCTTACCGCATAACCAGTGAACTGCTGTTTCCCATGGTTTGGGTCCGTGGGAAAATGCCATAACATCCTGTACAACCTCCTATGGAAAGAACATCGAGTTCGTCTATCCTCCAGTTAACGAACAGTGTGGTATCCATGGTTCTGCAGACATATTTAGAGGTGGTAAACGGATCATGCAGAGAGGAATACTGCCGTTTCTATTTAATTTAATCATAACAGGTAGTAGGGAACATTGGCGTCAGAAGTACCTAACGTAAAGAAACAACATAGCCGCCGGCAGGAAAACGCGAGATGCAGTGGGTTTTTTAATGCACGCCTGCGAGTGACTAAAGCCCACTTGAAGATGAGGATACATGCATGTGTACCAATACAGAATGTAAGGATCGGGCGCAGGTGAGAAGTCGTGTTCATGAAACATGGGTTCCACAGCATTCAAACGGACTGGTGCAATGAGTGACGCACATAGCGGCATTAGTTCCCTGGTTGCGCTGCGATGCAGTCAGTGGATAAGGTACCAAGAAAAAGGACTTCGTTAAACTTAACGACTGGCTTGACGAAGGGTGAGATGCACAAGTGAAAATAAAACAGAAGTTGACTTATTGAAAGCGCAAGTCGGAAAGCGCAATGAGCCGACTTGATTACGGACGCGCGTCGAAAAATTTGCTCCGGCGTTTGCGGTCGCAGTGTTTGGGTAGACGTGATGTGGAACACACAGCAAAATGGTACGGATTCCGTGCCAGCGTTGGGGAAAATATGCAATGGCCGACTGGGTGAGCAATCACCAATGCGCCTCTAAGCACATCTGCATACTCAGTGGATAGAAAGTGTGTAAAATAATAAGATGGAGAAAATCACGTTGTAAAATGCAAAAATGAACAAAGATGAACACATCTTTGTTCATGAGTAGAACTGCACCATTTCTATACCTTTTCTCAGCAAAGTTCATCTGTAACGAGTTCAAATTCCTCCTTTAAGAAAGCATGTTCCTCCATAGATAACTCAAGATGGACACCATCAAATTGCATCTAACGGGCGCAAACAATCTTAAAAATGTGTAATGTTCGCTGAGTAACCAATCACAAACCAGTCGATACTATAGCATATGAGTATAAAGAGTGCAATACTATTAGGTGGTTTTTGGATTGAGCAGTAGCATTTATTGTTCATTGAGTGAACAATCCAATAACTTTGCAATCCTAATACTCATAAATTATAGTTTCGACTAGTTGGTGATTGCTTAATCAACGAACAGTACATATTGTTAAGATTGTTTGCGCCCGTTGCATGCAACTTGATAGCGCTCATCTTGATTGCTTCAAGGAGGAATTTGAAAGCATTACGGATGCATATGATTGAGAAAGTGTATAGACTCAGTCAGATAGCCAGCACATGTCCGAAGAAACACTGTACGAAAGACGCGACTATGTTACCAGATATGACATGGTGCCGCCCACTATCCACTGACTTGTAAGTTACTGTTGTTCAGAGGACAGGGTGGCTCCCTCACTAAGCCACAGATCTATCAAAGTTAAGCCACCAAGTAAGTAATGGCATTAGAAGCAGTTTGGTCCGCGTACTGATTACAAGGGAGTATGGAAGGGATTTGAAAAGTAAACACTCATTGCGACAAAAGAACAGCGTAAATCACAGTTAAGTTATAATGGTTTTTGCAAAATGAGTCGATGAAACACCGGAGGTCGAAATGGGTCTTAGAGTAGAACACAAGGTAGTAACTCGGTCACAGCTAATTCCACCGCATCATGAGCAAGGGTGTGCATCCCACCAATCCCAGAGACGATTAGGATCCAATAATCATACAAACAGGTGCTCTGAAGCATGCAACCGAGAAAAAGGTGCCTGCCACACTTGTGTGGAGGTCTGACCGTTAGCTACGATGAAGAAACAAAATGCCCCCATTGGTTAGCCAGTGAAAGTCAATCGAATGGATATTCAAGTCGACAAGAAAAATGGCGACGCAAGAAGTGCAGGACATTGACATGCATATCGTTGGAGGAAGAGTCGTGGTACATTGTAGAGAGTAACATACTTGTGATACTCAGGTGTCATCACTCATGGTACTCTCTGCCTGGTGCACACGTTTCATCCACTCGTTGCTGTTCCGGCCAATCACCATCGCCGGTGTTCCTGACTCAGCCGTTCTTTGTCCCTTACAGGTTCAGCTAGTCCCGATTTCTATCTCATCCTCGTTCACGCGTGATCAACTTGCGTCGAAAACGACCGCTTAGCCTTTAGCTTGCCTAGCACCCATTGCTCGGATTTTCCCAAATAATTAACTCTCACAACAGGTTGATACAAGGGAATGAGATTGCCAAGATGTCCCAAAAGGACGGTGGTCTGACTTGAACGTGATGTTACGAGTTGCTTCGACATAATTCGAGATAATTACAATCCAGCTGGAGAGACTAGCATGACAAGCACGAAAAAGAACCCCTTCCAAGCATATGGTCGTCCTAAAGTACAAAATAAAAGCGCACCGATGCGTCCAATATTGGATATGATGGGATCCCCCAGGACTCGTTGGCTAAACAAATGGTGGAAAAGCAACATCCGTTACGGAACATGGTCTGCACTTACTGCGTAAGAGAATCATTTGAATCCATTGAGAGGATAGCCAAAAGTAACTTTGATGACAAAAGAATGAACTTATTTGATGCGCAGTCGCCGTTCACAAATATTCCGAAGCTCGAAACTGTGGAGTACGTGTGCGAACTGGCTCGGTAACAGCCCGATTTGACGTTAACACCACCTAATCTCTACCACGTAAACATTTGGGTTCGATGAGTTTACATGAAAAGAATTCTTAGACCAACACTCATTTGGTTTTGAGTTGAGCACATAAATGTCAAATATAAAATATACAACCAACGTACACGCATACAACTGGAAATGGGTAGCCACAAATTGAACACTTACCAAACTCAGGTCCCTCATCGGTCTCAGAAGCATCCATCGGCAAGTCATGAAACTCGGTCGGTACGTCAGATTTGGCCATGGCAGATTCTTCTTCTAGGCGCTTCGATTCGAGATTCGCTAACATCGATTCGTCCAGCAGTGAATTGTGATCACCATCATTTTCTGAGTCGTTAGCTTCTACAGGTTTATCATCAAATGGTCCTTGGTCTCCATCGCCCGATGCTTCGTTCGCTCCATCACCTGCGACGGTGGTGGTTTGTTTGAAGTTGTTCAATAGTTTAGGCCGCGCAGTTTTTGCTGTTGCCTCAGAAGACGCTTCATCTGAATTCTCACGCGGAACCATTTCATCATCAGGATTGTCATCGTCGTCGCTACTCACAGTCTGTG